GTCGCTATTAGCTAGCACTACTATATTCGTGTTGTTATTGCTGTTGTTGTTGTTATTGTTGTTGTTGCTTTAGTACGATTTTGAACATCGCAAAGTGTTCGGTGAAATTTTTACGCTCATACGAATTGGGCGATTGCAATTTTTTATGCTTATACTAGTGTTGTTGCTGGTGTTGTTGTTGTTGTAATTGTTGGCGCTGTTGTTGTTGTTGTTGTTGTTTGTCTTGTACTTGCTTTACGTTCTGTTCAATGTTAAGCTTTCTGCGATTTGTGTTTTTTTTTTTTGTAGTTGGGTATTTCGCTCCTCGAGCGCTCGATGATTTTTTAAATTTTCAGTTATCGTTCAGATTTTGACCGTAGCAGTTTGTTTTGAATAAAAACAAAAGTGCTCATCCGCTATAGTCTTGTGTGCCGTCACATGAATATCCTTTTCCGGAAACGGTTACGTTGCGTTGCATCCGTTTTGATGTGAATTTTTAAAATTTTGAACGAATTTAATTCGATACATTTGGCTTGTTTTAAAACCAATTTAATCCTTTTAACCTTTATAATTTAACCTTATAATTATAATTAATAAGTTTCTTAAAAAAAACCAACAAAAATGAATTTAAAAGTTCTTCTATACACAGGTAAATTATTGACCAATAAATTTGATTAAAAATTATATTTAATTTTTAGTACAACGTTGCGTATGATGAACCAGAAAGTAAAAGTAAAAGTGTATTGCATTGTAAAAACAGTGGTCAGTCAAGAACTTTCCTTTTAGTTGTTGAAATTTTAAAATATATATAATAAAAATATATATATGAAATATATATAAATACATATAAAATATTTTAAATTTTAAAATTTCATTTAAAGTTCAAAACTCTTCAAAGTTAACACATTATTGTTTTAATTAAAAAATGCGTTAAACTAAAATATTAAATATGCAAGCATAAAGTTATTAAATCAAAAGTTTTTAAAATGAAGTCCCATCTATACTTGTGTTCAAAGAGAAAAAGAAATAAATACTTAGTTAACTATTATATACTACTAAGTCCCATATGTACTTGTATAAGCTGACAAAAAAAACAAATATAAGAATCACCAAGTTAATTTATTAGGCTACTATGACGGAAGCTAGCCGTACTTCCAAAACAAAATTTTTGAAAAAAAACTCCCTTACCAATCATATAGGTTGGTTTCAAAGACTTTTATGACCATGTGTCTAAGTTCAAAGTTGAGTCAAAACTTCCATAGTCAGGCCGTTAAACTAACTTATCAGTTTCATCGGCTGATCATATAATTGTTACCATAATATCTTATTATTGTGTCTTACTTAAAGTTAGGCAACCAGAGCAAATATTTTTTTTTTTTTAAATCCTTTATTAGATATGACTAGTACAATCTTAACTAATAGTTAATTCAATACTATTGCTGAATTGTGCTTAAATTGTACTGAAACAGTGTTCAGCTCACATACAACCACAGCAAATATGATAAAATATCTCTTAATGATTTAGATATAAAATACTAATTAATATCTCCTTCTTTCATTATCATTTGTATTATTTTGTACTAGTAATGTATTTTATAAGTATTATATGATTCCTAATAGGCTGCTTACTCCAATAAAATGAAGTTTTTCAATTTTTTAGAACAATTTTAATAATAAAAAATCTTTAATAATATATATTAATTGAGAAAGCGAATATATGAATATTTATTTAGTAACTAAAACAGAAAATAACAAAAATTAATAATAATAAATTTTATAAATTTTAATAAATTCTTTGAATTTAAAAATATGCAGTGATAATTCTAGTTATTTGAGTCTTATAACAAAATATAATTCCAATATGTATATGATTTTAAGGGCTACTTCAATGATAAGTACTTGTTAAGTAGTTCTTACGTTAGGGTACTAAAGTGAGACTTAAAATTTAAATAAACATAAGCTTAGTCTCAAAATAAAACTTAAATGTTTACTATAACATTGGATATTAACATTTAAAACAATAAAATATTTAAAATAAATAATATATTTAACATTAAATATGTTAAATATATTAAAAATATTAAAATATTAAAAATATCACAAATATGAAAGTTAAAAATATTAAAAATGTTAAATTAATTAAAAATATTAAAAACATTATATATAATAAAAATATTAAAAATAATAAAAGGATTTAAAATATTAGAAATATTAAAAATATAATGAATATTAAAAATTTTAAACATATTAAAAATATTAGATATATTAAAGTAATCAAAAATATTGAAAATATTAAAATAAATATTGAAAATATTCTTTCTAATATTAATAATATTAAAAATATAAAAAACATTCAAATTATTAAAAATATTAAACTCATTGAAAAAATTAAAAATAGTTAATATATTAAAAATGTTATATATATGGTATTGATAATATTAAAATTTTAATAATATTAAAAATATGGAAAATATTAAAAATATTAAAAATATTATAAATATAAAAAATATTGAAAATATTAATAATATTAAAATTATTAAAAACCTTGAAAATATTAAAAATATTAAATGTATTATAAATATTAAAATAATAATAATATTAAGATTATTAAAAATATTGAAAATATTTTTTATATTATTAATAATATTAAAAATATAAAAAACATTAAAAATATTAAAAATATTAAATTCATTGAAAAAATTAAAAATGGTTAATATATTAAAAATGTTAAATATATTAATGATACTAAAATTTTAATAATATTAAAAATATTGAAAATATTAAAAACATTAAATTTATTATAAATATTAAAAATATTAATATTTTTAAAATTATTTAAAACATTGAAAATATTAAAAATATTAAATATATTATAAATATTAAAATATTAACAATATTAAAATTATTAAAAATATTGAAAATATTAAAAATATATTAACAACATTGACAGTATTAAATATATATTAAAAGTATTTAAAATATAAAAAGTATTGAACCTATTAAAAATTAAAAATATTTAGAATATTATAAATCTGAAATGCATAAAATATTTAAAAATTATTAAAAATCATATGAGACAAGTATGTTAAAATTAAGATAATAATGTTAAAAAAATGTTTTTTTTTAAAAAGTTTTAATTTCGTAGCTCACAAAACAATTAAGTATTTTTATACATTTTCTACAAGATATCGTATGCATTAAATTGCATTTTCTTGGTGTTAATTGTATAGTAGATCGTATATGAAATTCTAGATATCATACCAAGTTGAGAAATATGTCACTGATATCTTAATGAAAAATAATATTTTACATTGCAATACTGAGAATTACAAACGTCACTGCCATTTCAGTACAAGTGCAATGTTAATAAGATACATTCACGTATAGTAGCATTGAGCAAAAATTAGAGATATTTTAATCCAAAAAAGAGAATACAAAAAACAATTATAAAAGATATCAGAAAAAAAAAATATTTACTAAAAAAAATTGTTAAATAGACTTAGCTAATTACATTAAGCTAAAATTTTCTAATTTAGCATTAATTTTTTGTAAAATATAAACAAAGTAACTACACATAGAATAGGTATTTTTAGGAATAATTTATGCAGTATTAGCCATTACTTCTTTAAATTTTACGACATACATATGCTTGTAGTTGATATAGATAAAGCTCGATATATAGAGAAATTATATATATTATTGCATTTATGGGCTTTCAGACATTCAAAAATGATAAAATAGCATTGAAGCTTATCAAGGAGTATAACGTAATTGTCTTCATATGATTAAATGAATAAAATTGAAACCTCTTCATTAGAGCTAAGTATATTAGATCATTAAGATGTTTAATGAACTCGATGGATCTTCAAGTTTATTAAGATCCATATTATGCAGACAGTTTTGGTCACGATATATACAATATTGTTCTTGTTTTTAATGTAAATTAAAGATTCGACATTGGAATTGTCCTTCTTTTAGCCCTCCTAAGTATATTAGAAATTGTTCTCTTTTAGTCTACTTAGTCCATATATTATATGCATAGTCGTCATAATGAATGTGATATTGTTGTTATTCTTAATGTAATATAAATTTGACATTGGTTTTCTGTGACGAGACGTGCTATACTTTGTTATGTTAGTCAAAAAGTGTTGTTCATTAGTAAGTGTCAAAATTTGCATCTCTTATTAGCAAATTACGGATATGTAAGCATATCCGTACAAATATATTATATATTTAAAAAAAAATAAAAAATATTTCAAATTTTATATATAATAATTGATAGTTGTGTTTTGACTGTCTGCATAACATACTTTAATGGCTGTGACTAGAGAGTGTGTAAAACTGAGATACTTATACATTTTATGACTTTCGGTATAATGGGCTCTTACGCTTTGTGAAGGTTCAATATACTGATGACTATTTCAATAACTTATTTATATATCATGAGTGTTGCTACAAAAGTCGGAAATGTTGGAGCATAAATAATTAAATTGAATTTGTATTTTTAGTGAAAGTAATCACTTTATATTATCCATTAATAACACTAATTTCACTCATAATGTACTATTACTAATATTTATTTTTAACCATTAAAAATCATAACGAACTTAAATTAGCAGAAAAAAATTTCAATAAATTACTTGACCAATAATGCAATAATCATAATTTACTAGAAACATTTAGTAACGATTTAATAAAATTTTGAAATACAATTTAGATATTCAACTTAAATTTATGACCTCTGCAAAATGGGAGTCGCGTGCTTTAAAGTCCCCATCATTGGTCAGTGGAGAAATGTAGGCTTATCAATGACCACGCGAAAATTTATCGGTTTAGTACTAAAATTGAAACGATTTGGTCATTTTGAAACCTGTAATAATTTCTCCTATTCAATAATTTTTATATTAGCAATAATCATAAAAAAGCAAAATTATTCATACTTCGCAAATGGACATTTTCTAAACTAAAACAATTTAGCATAATTTAGCATGCTTTTTATAGTTTTCAGATAAAAACAATGATTGTGGTTTCAATAAAATTTTATAACACAAAATATGCGATTGGAAATATATTTGTGCTAAAATTAAAAATATTTAAAAATATTTAATTCTTTAATAGTTTAAAATAGTGTAATTATTTTTATATATTATGTATTTTGTAAAATGAACTTAAAGAGAAACTTATCACAGCAGATGTTTTTGATAAGGTCCAGACTAGTGTCATCTCTCTTGAAAAACTCTGTCTCATCTTTCTTAACAATGATAATATCAACTTGTTAGGATACATAACTTTAATAGTTTAAAACAGTGCAATGATTTTAATATAAATACAATGTAGTGTGAAAAATTTTAAATGAACTTCGGGTCACATTTTTCACGGCAAATGTATTTGATAAGGTCTAAACTAGTACCACCTCTCTTGGAAACTCTCTCTCATTTCTCCGAACAATGATAATATGTAATTGCTAGGATACATTACTTATTGATACGATATAACTTTAAGGTGCTTGTTTTGATATATTAGTAATCATCTATAAAATAGAGCATATTAAACAACATATGTAACAGAGACATATTAGAAATGTTAGTTGTTTTTGTAAAGCAGTTCTGGGGATCTTAGAGCTTAGTCCTAGTTGGCTTAACACCGCTG